TAAGGGACGAAAAGTATAGTTTTGCCAATTTTATATTAATTAAAAATTATTTGATAACTTATTTTTATAAATCAAAACTGACATTATAAATATATATCTTTTAAAATATATTAAAATATGAATAATTTAATTATTTTATAATTTTTATTTAATTTTTATAAATTTTGACATAAATATTTAAGATGATATAAAATTATAAGTAATGATTAGATTAATAAAATCATCTTTATTATAAAATTGTTGATGGTGTAATAATTAATATCTAGTACATCCGGCATAATAGTATATTGACATAAATTTTTATCAATTATTATATTATTTAATAATTTTTAATTTAATGATATTTGTAAAAAAATTTATTTAAATTAAAAATATCCGTAATAAACAACATGTTTAACGATGATGTGATTATTTAGTTTGGTAAATAGATATGATATTGCTTGGAAAATAGTTACCTAAAACAAAGTTAAATAAAGAAAGAAACCTTCTATATCATGTAGGTATTAAAGAAGTCTACTGGTAGTCCATTAAAGCGGAACTAAAATCTTATTTAAATCGTAAATACACCGTACACACATGTACCCGTACATATGCACAAGTTCTCAATAAACTCACTTACAATGAATGTTTCAATGCATTAGTGTTTACTTAGTTTTTAATTTGATAATATAAACCCAAAAATTAAAAATGTTTAGTGAATGTTATTGAATAGGAACATTGTGTCTCCAAGATTATATTAAATTTTAATTCAAACATAAACCATCATTTCATATTAAGAATCATTTACGGATTTAGAAATTTTAAGTTATGAAACAATATTTATATATAAAAATCAATATTTTAATTATACATTATAATAAATTTTTATATAAATATTTCTTAAAAATATTTTTAATTATTAATAATTTCATGAAAACTATTAAAATTTAAGGATGGTTTATTTAGTTAGTTACAAAAATAATGATTACTTGCTTATTCAAAGAAAAGAAACTAAGTTTGTTAGCTCAATAGTTATGTTATAAGGTCTGACCTGGAACATAAAATGTTAATTTTGTGTTCTTAAGTTTGATTTTCTCCTGTATTAAAATAATGTTTATTCAATAAAAATGAGTATAAATTAATCATTAATTATTAATTTTAAAACATTGTGTAAATCATGTTTATAAGTAAAATAAAATTACTAAAAAAAAGAAGAGAAATAATTTAATCCAAACATAAGCCATCATTTCATACAGCTAACAATACTTTTATTTACGTTTTTATTTTTGTTCAGCAAGTACATATAAACATTGCGTTGTTTTTTGTTTCATGTTAATTACTCCAAGTGCAGAAGACAACACCCACAGTTTTAAGGTGTTGTGTTGTGTGATTGTTTCATGTGTATGGTTGGTTGGTTGGTTTCATCGCTTTCCGTTAATACTGCGTGCGTTAGAGCGGGTTCGTTTCACTCTCTTTCTCTCTCATCCATCTTTATTATTTTTTATTTATTTATTTTTATCTTTTCTTTTTCATTGTTTCTTCATTATTATATTTTATTTATTTTGATACGAATGGTTTCTTTCGTATTATTATTATATCTATATTTGATTTCATTTGATGCATTTTCCCATCAAATTATAATTTAACCTTTTAATCATAAAAATAAGAAAGCATTAGAAAACTTCAAAAGCAAGCACACCTTTCGACGTAGTATATCTTAACATCTCTATCTCTGAGGTATATGCACTATTATTTTTTTTTGTGCCCCTATATTTTCTCAAAAAATAATAATGTTTTACTTGTCTTCGTTTTAAGAAAAGTACTGAAAAATAAATAAATAGAATATTTTGAAAAGTATTCGGGTTTTAATTTTTAACCTGTAGCTTTATCTTTTGCATTATATCTATTTATTAATTTAATAATTCTCTTTCCCAGTCCACCTGTCAAAATAAATAAATTAAATAAAGATTGTTACTCGGTCAATTGTTGTTTCAATTTTCTTCTCTTAATTTTGTGTTTTCATTTGTGGGAACTGTTTGAATTTTTGAGCATTTGATTCCATGATTCATAGGATTTTGTACTTTTTTTAATTTGTAGGCAATTGTTAAGGGGTTTCACAGGAATATGCATACACATGCAAATTGAATTTGCATTTAGGTTTTCTTCACTGTGTTGATCTCTATAGGAATTTCATGTTTAATTCATTTGTACGCAATCAGAACGTGGAAGGAACCGAACTGTCTTTTTGCTGCATTGGGGTGAGTATTGTGATGTTCTGCATTTGTTCTTCTATTACCCCTATTTTTTTGTTTTTTGTTTTTTGCTTTTGTTAACGTTTCTTTTTCCCGTCAGTGAGTTTGCTAATAAAGAAGTAGAAAACTGTTTCTGGGTTTTCTCCTTGATCTTTTGTTGACTCTATGATAAAGGGTATGTGGCTTTTGTTGCAGGCATAATTATTCAATTAGTTTATCTATATTATCATTTTGCATTGAATGGAGCAGTTGAAACTGGTTGCAGATTCTAAAGCCAAAGAGGTTAGAATTTCAAACCCTAGCAATGTGTGATACGTCTTTGTTTCTGAAGCCCCTTTTGGAATATTTTATTTCCTCCCTCTGTATCTAAAATCTTCTATCCTCTGTTTTAAGGATCACAATTGCTGGTGATCTTATTATTCATGTTTGTGTCTGAAAAATCTTGCTAGTCATGTGTTACTATACTATTTTCCCCCTCTTAATTTGCTTATAACGTTCTGTGTTCACTTGTGACTTGTGATGGCTTTTGTTGTTCAACACTTCTAGTTGATGAGCTAACTTCTGCCCTTCAGATCGTTAATTATCTCATATCCTAATTGCTTAACATCTTCTATTGCCTGGTCTATGTGCCAAGCTTTGTGGTTTCTTTATATCACGGGGATTTGAAAGATTAGAAAATTTTCAGCAAGTGGTTGTGACTAGTACTGCCTCTGTTTAGCCTTTTGGAATTGCATACACCAGTGGTATTTGTATCTGTCACTCTCAATATCTCTAAATTGACATACCTCATAGAAGGGGTGAAAAATAGGTAACATGTAATACATATTATTCAGTGCATGTTGTCTGCTTCTTGATTTTTCAAACAAGAGGGAAGTACCAAATATCAAAAGTGCTCCTTTTAGGTGATTTTCAATGTTGGGAGGTTGTACTTATTATAACTGTAAAAGTATTATTTGCTTAAATTCATTGTATCTTTTCATTGACCATTCGAATGCTATGCATTACATTTTGAAGCTATGCAATAGACACATGAGGGGGAAAAAAACTAGAGTGTGAACCTTGGCACTGTTTTGGTCTGTATTTTATACAGATCTCCCCTTCCTTCCCAATTATGGCATCCAGTACTCTTTTAACTCGGAGTCTTTGGAAATTTATTTGAGGATGCTTATGTAAATATTTATGACTTATTTCAGCCTATAAGATTGGATTTAATTTATGATTGAGTGAATGTTCTGTCTTTACTTGAAACTGAAATTTAAATTATATTTTCCAGTACTTGAAATATGAATGCATCACTATCTCTATTTTCTTTTTAAATATTAATTTTCATGTGCATCATCTACAATTTTTGCTGTTTACTTTTGGTGCATTCTTACTTTCTGTTTTCTACAGCTTGACCTCTTTGACATTAAACTGTCACACTTTTTTGTACCAAATCCTTTGGCAATATTTGGAATGTAACATTATTAATTATGATTTCCTTCAATTCATTTTTTACATTGATTATTTTTATTGAGGCTGCAAATTTTAATAAATTTATCACTCATATTTTTCAGGATAATCCTTTGGGGAACAAGCCAAAAAATAACAATGTGCTTGAGTCTTCGGACAGTCTGAGAAATAGAAAGGTATGCAATATGATCCTATGTGTTGAGCATGCATAATGCTTTCATGGTCCATCAACAATACTCTGTACTTTTCTTGTCTTTGGAACAAATAGGAACCGACTTTTGAAATCCGAGTAGAATTACCTTTCAGCACCCTGTGCTTTAAGTAATTTTATTTTTAAACTTCCCTTCCTGTTTTTTGAATTAGATGAACTTGTTTAATATGAGGGTTCACAATTTTGAGCAATCAATACTTGTCTTGATAGTCATCAGGTGAATCTAACTTGAATAATCTGATTCCCAGCTTATTGAAAGCATAATAGGATATAGATTAGTCAATGACCAAATTCAGTTTTTTAAACATATTTCTTATAGTATAGAAGAAATTAATGGGTTGAAAGGTACCATTAATGATTATATAGAAGAGAGATTTTGTTTTTTCATATGTTGAATTATTATTGCTATGCTGCAGATATCAGCTCGATGGGATCCAGTTGAAGCATGTCGGCCTATAATTGAAGAAGCACCTGTCTTCTATCCGACTATTGAAGTACTTGTTATTATTATTGCCATCTTCACATTTGTGGTAGTAATATTGTACTATGAGTAATTTGATTTCTTATTTTTATTCTTTTTAATTAGGAGTTTGAAGACACACTCAGTTACATAGCAAAGATTCGGCCCCTAGCTGAACACCATGGCATATGTAGGATTGTTCCACCAGCTTGCTGGACTCCACCCTGTCCTCTTAAGGAGAAAGATCTATGGGAAAATGCTGAATTTCCCACCCGTATTCAACAAATTGATTTGCTTCAAAATAGGGAACCTATGAGGAAAAAAAGTAGGGGAAGGAAAAGAAAACGTAGAAAGCATTCCAAAACAGGGACATGTAGGAGGAAGCCTGCCAATGCTTCTGAGTCTGAAGAGAAATTTGGATTCCAATCAGGGTCAGACTTCACTCTTAAAGACTTTCAGCAATATGCTAATTTTTTTAAAGAGTGCTACTTTGGGTTGAGAGATGCCAATGGAGACAGAATAGCCAACGACAGCAACCCTGAGAGGAAATGGGAGCCCTCTGAGGAGGAAATTGAAGGTGAATACTGGCGTATAATTGAACAACCAACTGATGAGGTTGAGGTATTAAGCATTGTCTATTGAAAACTATATTAGTCTTTATTACCACACAACCGTGGAAACAGTATATATGTTACTGTGTTATATTGTAGGTGTATTATGGAGCTGATTTGGAAACTGGAGCACTTGGAAGTGGTTTTCCTAAGGCATCATCCTTAACTAAGAGTGATTCAGATCAATATGCTCTGTCGGGCTGGAATCTGAATAATTTCCCGCGGCTGCCAGGTTCTGTACTAAGTTATGAGGGAAGTGATATATCAGGAGTTCTAGTGCCATGGCTGTATGTTGGCATGTGTTTTTCATCATTTTGCTGGGTAAGTAATGATTTTTTTCCAAGTCTAAATTTAACTCAACTTGATGAGATGTAATATAAACAATTTTTTTGCCATGACATGATGTTAAGAGTTTAAGTTATTTTTCATCAAAGTTTGCTTAAAATTTTTGACAGCTGTTTAGTTTAGAAAATTTCTCACTTGGTTAAAGGTTTACCTAACAAAATAGATTACTTGAAGTAATAGAGAATGGAGTGGGCTGCTTCATACTGCTTTATCATTAAATAAATTAATATAATAGAAACCTCAGTATGTTTGCACTTGCGGTATTTTGTATTCCACTTGCTTGTGTTGATATATTTGACATGTTGAACTATAAAACTAATAACATATGCAGTGATCTTGAATTTTGCATTTCTTTCATTTCAATTCCTAACTTTTTTCTTAGAAAGATAACATATTGTCATCATTTTCTGCTTCTCGAAACAGCATGTTGAGGACCATCACCTCTATTCACTAAACTATTTGCACTGGGGTGACCCAAAAGTATGGTATGGAGTACCTGGAAGCCATGCTCCAGCTTTGGAAAATGTAATGAGGAAGCACTTGAGTGATTTATTTGAGGAACAACCAAATCTACTCAATGAACTGGTATAACGCTACCACTTGTACTTTCCTTATTGCTTTCGGTTGTTGACTAGTATTTTCAGTTATCAGTTGCTTTAGTACTACTTTATTGTTTCTATAGAGAAGAAATATATTAATGATTAGAGTAGTTATCAGTTATCATACCTTAGAACTGAAGTTCATTATAGATTCTAGCAAACCACACTGCTAGTGTGTTTGGGAAAAGTCGTGACTGAGAATTGGCATCATCTTAATGACTTGACAGTTCCTCATGACCAATATCCTTCATGATGTGTTCTGTATGACACAAACTTTCAGCTCCGTTATTGCTGCAATGATGGTCGCTCTTATCAATAATCAATCTGTTTAAAGCCTATCCCTCCTTACATAGTGGGATGAATTTTGTCAGTTTTATTACTACTAACAATTAACATTTGTTCATCTCCAGATTTTGCATCGGCAGTAAACATGGTCCACAATGAAAACCGTGTCTCAACTGAGATATTTTTGGGACATTAATCCCATGATTAATTGCAGCAATTTGAATACTGCTCATTTTAATCAAAGATAACCAACACCTCAAAATCCAAACACACATGCCTGCATGTCACAAAAAACACGTTTAATGTTAGATTATGTTTTTAGATACAAAATTCTATGTATCTATAAAAAATTAATCTAAAATGAAAAATAAAAAAGAAACACTGCTAGAAGAAAAAGAAGAGAAAACTGAATGAGCAAAATCCCTCACCGATTACGACGGTGCAATCGAGAAGGATTTGAAACGGTATTAGGTGCTGAGAATTTGGATCAATTTTACTTAGGACTATGTTAGAGATGAGGGTGTATTTATTCGGGTTAGGATCGCAGTGCACCGAACATGGATGGGAGAGGGTTCGAGAGTTTTTTGGTTTTGATCCCACGGTGGGGAAATGAGATTTTTTCTGATCGAACATTTGCCATTGAATGAAGCGTTACGTGGGGATCTTTCTGCAAGAGAGAATTTCGTACATAGGGTGTTATGGAAATTTATGGAACTTGGACAGGGACGCCGGAGGAATTAATGAAGGGTATACGAGCAGTTACGAATACTTTAAGAAAACATAAAATATGTCTATCATGCTATCCAAGAAAGGAAATTTGAGAAAAAAACGAAAATGAATCAATTATAGAAAAATGTTTTGTTATGTAAGAAATAGGAACGATGGTTATGACAGATTAAATAATGACAAAATTATCTATTAAATTTAAAAAAACATTTAAATTAATTTAAACACATGAAAAAAATATTTTATTTTATTAAAAACTTCAAATTATTACTTGAATAAGATTGCAATGTAAAGAAATATAATTTTATTATGATTTTTATAACAATAATTAGAAGAAGAAGAAGAAAAAAAAAAAAATATATATATATATATATAATTGTAATAAAACATTTCTCGTATGGTATTTATATATAATTTAACTATCAACATTTACAAATAGATATTAATGTGAAAAAAAATTCTTTCCTATTAAAAATTAATCATTTGAGAATAACTTTATTTTGTGATAATGAGAATGCTTGTTGTCAAACCTTAAATTAAAATAAATGATTCACTTTAAAAAATTATAAATAAAATTATTATATATTGTAATTATTGTTATTGTTTCTATATTTCTTCACATCATTATTATTATTGTAATTATTATCATTGTTGGAAATATTTTGTGAAAAATGTAGAAAAATTAGACCTTGCAGACAAATTAAAATTAAAATTGAAGATGGAAAACTATCATTAAATTAACATTAAAATTCATAGAAGAAAATGCCTATGTATAGGCTTACAATCAATTTAAAATTCCTAACAAATCTCATCTACTAACAACTCTACTTGTTGAGAATATATTGAATAACTGAAAATAAAACAAAGATTATTCTGGCAGATTAATGGATGTTGTGAACCAAATGCGACTTCTTGGTGAAACATCATTTATAGATCAAAAGGTTGTCGAAAAAATCATGGTTTCGGTGCCCGAAAGATTTGAAGCCAAGATTTCTGCAATTGAAGAGTCTTGTGATTTGCAAACTCTCACAATTACTGAATTGACCAGCAAGCTTCACGCACAAGAGCAAAGAGTCTCCATTAGAAGTGATGAAGTTGTTGAAGGTGCCTTTCGAGCAAAGCACAATGGAAGGAATTTTGGAAAGTCACGAACTTTCAATAAGAATAAAGGAAAAGATTAAGGTTCTTCAAAAAAAGGAAATTTTTTGCCTTGTTTTCATTGCCAAAGAACCAACCATTCTAAAGAAGCTTGTTGGTTTAAAGATAAACCACTTTTTCACTATAATTTTTGCAATAAAAATGGTCACAGTGAAAAGTATTGCAGATTAAAGAAGAATCAGCCTGAACAACAACTAGAAAAACAGGCAAATGTGGTTGAAGAAAAAAATGATGATGAAGATGAGTATTTATTTATGGCATCTCAAGAATTCAATTCACATGAATTGAATACTTGGCTCATTGACAGTGGTTGCACTAGTCACATGACTAAATATTTATCATTTTTTACCTCCATTGACAAATCAATTAAGCCAAAAGTCAAGATGGGAAATGGTGAAATTGTACAAGCCAATGGAAAAGGTACAATTTCTATTGCAACCAAGAAAGATATGATAATTGTTAAAGATGTTCTCTACATTCCAAAATTGTATCAAAATGTTTTTAGTGTTCCACAAATGCTAAGGAATGGTTATGGAGTCTCCTTTAAAGAGAATTATTGTTTTATTATGGATGAACATGGTTTAGAGATTGCAAAAATTGAGATGACCAAAAACAGTTTTTATTTGAAATTTGATTTGGTTGAAAATCATGATTTTATTGAAGATCATGATTTTATTGCTAAAATTGATGAGAGTAATGTTTGACATGGAAGATTTGGTCACACTTTTATGCATGATGTATTTGATATGACAAATTTCAACAAATGGTATTCAAAGACAGGAGGAGGAGTTAGATTGAATGACTATGAAGACAATGATTTGGGTCAAGAAATTGATGTGCAACAACTTGATGACATGGCATTTCAAAAACCCGATTAGAATGAACCTGCTGCTGCTCCAGGAGAATTGTCAGCTCCAATTTCAGAGCCACTAATGGCTTCTTTTTGGTCACACCTCCCAATTTCCAAAGGGTAGTTGACCAGGCTCACCTTGCTCCTGCTGCTACTACTCACATGCATCATGAGAAACCCCTTATAGGGACCTGCATCATGTATCAGTATCATGCTCTTAATTAGTGCAGAGAATAATGGAGAAGAATGGCAGAAGGAACCAGCTTTAGCTATGTTAGATAAAAAGTAGAGAGGGGAGAAATAAAGTAAACAAAAAAAAAATTAAAAGAATATCTTCTATTTACCATAAAGTAAATAGTTCAGTCAGTCACAGTATAATTATCTTATACCCTAAGCTAGTAACTTTAACTTTAACATAAATTACACATTAAAAGGTTCAACAAAACTAACTCTGCGAGCTACGACTATGTATGATGCAAATTCTATTATACAAGTTGAAAACTCATACACACACTAGAAGTACCTTTAAAAAATCCGTCTTTTGGTTTCATTTTGAGACCCTTTTTTTCCTACCTACTCTATTTCGAGAGAGAGAGAGAGAGAAAAGCACAGAAAAAGTGAGAGTGATGAAGGAGGCGGGGGGAGGACTTTTTGTTATGGTAAGATAGGAGGGAACGGCGGAAATGCAGAGGTTTATAAGGAGGAAAAAAGGAAAGATGAGTGCATGAAGCGGTCAGTGGGCTTTCCCAATGGACCTGATTGCGACAGGTCCAAGGCCCACACATGCTCATAATGGTCCCAATGCTTCACAACACAACATTAGAAATGACAAAAAATTATTCTCACATGTAAAAACACAAACTTGACAACTTAGATTGTTTGGTTTTACGTTTGAAATGTAAAAACGTTAGTTTGACCCAATGCAACAAGACACAAACTTTTTGTTGAGGTGTCTTAAAAATTATATAGTAACTACAAACCAAACAAACATACACCTAAACATTTAAAACATAACAAATATATGATGAAAGCAAAACATTATAGTGCAACACAAACAAAGGTGCATTACCCAATTATTTTCCATCATTCCTTGTCCACCGGCGAAACATACATGGAGAGATTGCCGAAGAATGTTCAGTTCAAGGCTCAGAGAACTCACAAAGAGAGGGTCAAAACGCATCGGCAGTAAACATGGTCCACAATGAAAACCGTGTCTCAACTGAGATATTTTTGGGACATTAATCCCATGATTAATTGCAGCAATTTGAATACTGCTCATTTTAATCAAAGATAACCAACACCTCAAAATTCAAACACACATGCCTGCATGTCACAAAAAACACGTTTAATGTTAGATTATGTTTTTAGATACAAAATTCTATGTATCTATAAAAAATTAATCTAAAATGAAAAATAAAAAAGAAACACTGCTAGAAGAAAAAGAAGAGAAAACTGAATGAGCAAAATCCCTCACCGATTACGACGGTGCAATCGAGAAGGATTTGAAACGGTATTAGGTGCTGAGAATTTGGATCAATTTTACTTAGGACTATGTTAGAGATGAGGGTGTATTTATTCGGGTTAGGATCGCAGTGCACCGAACATGGATGGGAGAGGGTTCGAGAGTTTTTTGGTTTTGATCCCACGGTGGGGAAATGAGATTTTTTCTGATCGAACATTTGCCATTGAATGAAGCGTTACGTGGGGATCTTTCTGCAAGAGAGAATTTCGTACATAGGGTGTTATGGAAATTTATGGAACTTGGACAGGGACGCCGGAGGAATTAATGAAGGGTATACGAGCAGTTACGAATACTTTAAGAAAACATAAAATATGTCTATCATGCTATCCAAGAAAGGAAATTTGAGAAAAAAACGAAAATGAATCAATTATAGAAAAATGTTTTGTTATGTAAGAAATAGGAACGATGGTTATGACAGATTAAATAATGACAAAATTATCTATTAAATTTAAAAAAACATTTAAATTAATTTAAACACATGAAAAAAATATTTTATTTTATTAAAAACTTCAAATTATTACTTGAATAAGATTGCAATGTAAAGAAATATAATTTTATTATGATTTTTATAACAATAATTAGAAGAAGAAGAAGAAAAAAAAAAAAATATATATATATATATATAATTGTAATAAAACATTTCTCGTATGGTATTTATATATAATTTAACTATCAACATTTACAAATAGATATTAATGTGAAAAAAAATTCTTTCCTATTAAAAATTAATCATTTGAGAATAACTTTATTTTGTGATAATGAGAATGCTTGTTGTCAAACCTTAAATTAAAATAAATGATTCACTTTAAAAAATTATAAATAAAATTATTATATATTGTAATTATTGTTATTGTTTCTATATTTCTTCACATCATTATTATTATTGTAATTATTATCATTGTTGGAAATATTTTGTGAAAAATGTAGAAAAATTAGACCTTGCAGACAAATTAAAATTAAAATTGAAGATGGAAAACTATCATTAAATTAACATTAAAATTCATAGAAGAAAATGCCTATGTATAGGCTTACAATCAATTTAAAATTCCTAACAAATCTCATCTACTCTCCTAACGTAGACCTGTTTAACCACAGGTCTCCTATCATTTTCCCAGTGCATTTGTTCAGTTTTTAGCATTCTATGTACACACCACATAGTTTGTAAGTTTGGAAAAGTATTATAATTCTAATGGTTTTGATTTTTTCCTTTGAGCAGGTTACCCAGTTTTCTCCTTCAATTCTTAAATCTGAGGGAGTGCCTGTGTATCGCACAGTTCAGCATTCTGGGGAATTTGTTATTACCTTTCCAAGGGCATATCATTCTGGCTTCAATTGTGGCTTCAACTGTGCAGAGGCAGTCAATGTGGCTCCTATTGATTGGTTAATGCATGGTCAGAATGCTGTTGAGCTTTACAGTTTACAATGTCGTAAGACATCATTGTCACATGACAAACTGTTATTTGGATCAGCACTGGAAGCTGTGCGAGCCCTTGCAGGGTTAGCTCTTGGAAAGGAAACTCCAAAAAATTTGAAATGGAGTAGTGTCTGTGGGAAAGATGGAGATCTTACCAAGGCAGTCAAGGTAATGGCTCTCTCACCCTCTCCACTTTGCTCATACCTACTTCCACAAATTCTGAGACCTCCATAAAGTTTTTTAACTCATTTATTATACAGTTTTTTCTACCATGCAGATATTTTATTCAGTACTTAGTTTTCTTGTTACCCTTATTTGTGATAGGCAAGGATAAAAATGGAAGAAGAAAGGCTAGACTGTCTTCCAACTCATCTTAAGTCTCTGAAGATGAATAGTGACTTTGATTTGTACAAGGAAAGAGAATGCTTCTCTTGCTTCTATGACTTGCACCTATCTGCTATGGGTTGTGAGTGCTCTCCCGACATATATTCTTGTCTTAGGCATGTTAATTTATTCTGTTCGTGCGAAATGGAGAAAAAATTTGTTCTGCTTCGATATACTATAAATGACCTCAATATGTTGGTTGGAGCATTAGAAGGAGAATCAGCTGCTATTGAGTTGTGGGCAAATAAAAACTTTGGAATGGTTTCTGCCAATGCCAAAGAGGTTTGGATAGATAAAACAGATGTTGAGCAAGATATTTACAAAAACAAGGATTATGAAGAAAGGGAAAGCTCAGCTGGCTGTTTAGGAACGAAGGATAGGTCAAACTTAAACACACCTAGTAGTCCTACACCTACGAGTCATATTACTTCAGAAATAGGGCAGTCTGAGTCACACCCTGTAACTTCTAGGGCCCCATATGACAGTATTGATAGTCATAATGACAATAATGATGATAAAAAATTGGTCACAGAAAATGAAGATAAAGTAGATCAGGCAGGTCCTCTGGATTTGAATGTTGATGTTACCTCTGGTGAAAATGAAAATCATTTGCGGCATATTTCTGATAACCATCATGATGAAGTTGTTTCAGTAAAGGAAAAGGTATGTTGTTCAGAGACCAGAATGGAAGAAGACAATGTGAAACTTGGTGTTGAGGGCAACATACAAAACTCATTTTCTGTTCTAAAGACTGATTTTTCATCACCATGTTCTAGGGATGCTCACAATTATTGTACATTTGATGGTGGAAAAATTGAGCTGGATCTGCAAACAGATTCAGATTCAGGAAAGCTGCAAAACAATCTATTTAAAAGGGCGGTCATAGATACCACAAGTACTAGTATGTTTTTGACAGAGGAAAGCTGCTTAATGCAAATGTTTGGTACTTCTGTCGAGCCTGTAAGTTTGGGATCTGTTGTTCACGGAAAGCTGTGGTGCAGTAAGCATGCAATATATCCAAAAGGTATTCCAGTAGGATTTTTTCTGGGCTTTAAGATTTTACCTTGGTTGATTTATTACTTGGAACTTAACTTGTCTGCATTTTGGTATACTTTTGAAGGATTCAAGAGTCGAGTTAACTTCTATAGCATTATTGATCCAACAAGAATCTGTAGCTATATTTCTGAAGTTATTGATGCTGGATTTCTTGGACCTCTTTTCAAGGTATCATTCCTTACCTTTTTTTGTTTTAGGTTTGAAAATGAAATCATTTTGACTAGTTACTATTTCTTGATAATACTGGAATCCATGTAGTTGACATTTTCAGATGCCAATTTCCATTTCCAAATGCATTTTGGCTTGAATATAATTAAAACACGGCTTCTTGGCCTCCAATGTAGATTCAAGTTGAATATTCTGTTTAAAATATTGTCAGGCATTTTACTCTAAATGCCTTTATTAAAATGATATAGTTGTTTGCCTCAACAAGGTGTGTAATGTTGTGTTTGCTAGGTTAGGTTATGGTGTACTATGCTAAAATATAACGTAGAGATTTATGGGACAGATTACTCTATGGCTGTGTGTTTCTGCAGATGATTTCTGTATAGTTTTTGTTTTTTCCCTATGCTAAAATATAACGTAGAGATTTATGGGACAGATTACTCTATGGCTGTGTGTTTCTGTAGATGATTTCTGTATAGTTTTTGTTTTTTCCCTAGCTTGCAGAGGGATAAGGAATTATACCATTGGCTTTTTTTTTTTTTTTTTTTTTTTTAATTTAACGTAGGAAGATTTCCTTTTACCTTCTGTACTTTTCTCCATATTAAATAATTTTTTCCATCATCTTGAAATATATCATTATGATTGGTTTATGTGTTGGTGGAATACACCCAATGGCTGGAAACTTTTCCACGATTAGATGTTTATGTAGTTGCATCATTGTCTCAAATTATTGAATCGGACAACATAGTTTTAATCTCTTGTTTCTTTAGGCTAAGAAACTCATTGACATCACTGTATAGCCCTAAATCAACTGTATCTGAGTTTTTGTGGAAGTGTTTATTTGAGTTGACCTGATTTTAATTAAGGTGTGTTTCTCTCGTGTTCCATAAAACATATTTCAGGTTACCATGGAAGAATGTCCAAGTGAGGCTTTCACAGATATCTCAGCAGATAGTTGCTGGGAATCAGTTCTGAAGAGATTACATCATGAGATAACGAGGAGAAGGAGTCTAGGTGAACTAGAACTTCCTCCCTTAGAGCTCCTGAAAAGCATTAGCGGTCATAGAATGTTTGGCTTCCTTTTACCATCTATTATTCAGGTAATGAAAACACATGTATCTTATATTTTTGCCCAACTTGAGCTAACACGAATATCTTCTGTGTGTTGTTCATTATCTAATGTAAAATCAATTCACATAATTTAAATCTCTTCACCAAATTGTGTGTTGAACTAAATTAACATAGCTTATTCAATTTTGTCAATGACTACTGAATTAATTTGGAAAAACGTGACTGTTCTAGAATGTTCCTCTGGAATTATGTTCTCTCTTCTGATGTTCTATTACATTCTGACACTTTTTCAGGTCATCGAAGCCCAAGATCCAAGTCATTTGTGTGTAGAGTACTGGAATCACAAAGTTGCCTCTTCAGGCAGCACATATGGTTCCAGTAGCTATTTAGGTAATACCAATACCAAAATTTTTGGTATCGATTTGATTAAGCAGGAAAATTATAACATGCTTGAAAAGATGAAACCAATACTACTAAGGGCAAGTCCTGATGAGTTAAGCACAATGCATAAGCTACTCAGCTCTGATGCACAGTGCTGTGAGTGGAAAGTGGCATTGATAGCACTGATGGATGAGATTCGGAAAGCTTGTCAATAAAACGTGAAGATCTTAATTCTTTCGGACTCTAGATAGTTATGTTCCATTTAGTCATTATAGTTGGATCCATTCTTTCAAAGATAAATTAAACTGAAGAATCTGCTGGGTGAAGAGGAGGTAAATTTTTGCACTTTCCCATAATCAGTGACCTATATACATATGGGAAAAAGACGCTGACCCATTTTAAAACATTCGTATACATTTTCTTTTTAAGGTCTAGCCTTTAGCTGTAGCTGGATTTAGGTTTTGCATTTGTTGTTTTATTTCTAAATATCTGTATATACCTAGAAAAATGCTGCCGATACAATAAATGATAAAAGGTAGGGAAATACATGGGGCATCTGTTATTTGACTTATTTCAAATGCAATTGCTTCTGCTCAGAATTTTGAATATATATGATCTCTGTCTTAAGCAAAATGCAATGCGTAAATCCTCACGTCTTATAAGTTACAACCCAAACGGGTTTGTTAAATATGATAGAATATTGTATTTCTGATAAATTGCAGGTTCGAGTTCATTCATCTCTAGGTTGAGTGATTTTGCTCTCTTGGCTCCCTTTACAAAGAAGATAAGTAGAAAGAAAAGAAAGAAACATGGGATAAAAAGAAAGATATTATAAAATTTAGCACTATCAAAACGGGTTGGTTCAACAGACTTTCTAGGTGGACTAGTTCGGCTTGACCCACCAATTTAAAAGTTCAAACTTTTCCATTTCAGTTAGGTCAATTACGGCATGACAGGTTAAATAGGTTAACTTATTGACGTACCTAAATTTTAAAAAAAATTTCAATTAGAAAAAATTTTCAATATAAAATAACATTTAAATTAAAAATAAAAATTATCAAATTAAACATCACGTATATAACATTAAATTTAATTAAAAAAAATTGTACAAGTTTCAATAATCAAAACAAAAAAATTAAAAAAATTATTATTGAAGTGATTATCCATTAATATTAATTTTTTTAGAGATTTGAGCATATAAATCTATAATAATTTTATGTTTAATATCAATTTTATCTTCATCTACAAAAAATAATATCTTAATAAAATGATACATATATAACAACAAATGGTTAACTGAGTTGTTGGTGTGTTGGGCTAATGGGAGGTGTAAGTGGGTTAGCTGAACAATTCGATCTACCACAGGTTGAATCTAAGTGAGTCAGATCAAAAGTGGTTCGGGATGAGTTTTATAACCAATTATGATTTTTTTAATTTTTTTTAACCCGACTTAACCTATTTTCAAGGTAAATCAGGTTAGTCTACATGCGAGAATCCACTTTGACAATTCTATTAAAAATGTATAGATAAAATAATTTTAGAAGATATTGTTCAAATTATAAGAAATATTATAGTCACTTAATTTTTTCTACTAATACAATGGGATATCACAAGGGAATGACATGTTATTTAAGCAACACACAATTTACAATAGTTTCTCTTGATACTTTGAATGAGCTTTAATTTCATTTCATCATCTTATTTTTAAAGATATTTGAAATTTGAGTATTTTTAAGGAGAAATTGAGTTTAATATAAACACTAAACTCATGGCTTTTACAAAATGGACAAACTAACCCGACATGCTAAAGTTTGCAGCCACCGCACTAACTTGGGGTTATATGTTACAATTTTCGCTATACTATATTATAGGGAAAGTAGTGAAAAGAAGATTTACAAATTTTATTTGGTCAAGAGGATGGAAGACAAAGGAAGATAACTCTTTTCTTATTTTAGTTATATGATGAGAGGAGCTATATTTTAAAAACTAATTTACCTTTATATCTTTAAATTTTAAATTTAAGAACACAAGTAAAGATATTTTGGACATTATACTTAAAATATTTTAAAATTCCTTCCTTTCTTTCTAAATTGTCCCAATATTGGAAGAGAACTAAAATTAGATCCAATGTGATTTTTCTTGCCTATATTCTTTTCTTTCACCCTCTAAAAGTTGAAGCTATGAATACCTCTCCTCCCCTCCTCTTCATTCCCCCTCCAAGCAAGAGTGATAAAAAAAAAAAATTTAATGGATGCATTGTTAAGAAAAATTTAAATAAAAAATAGAGAATTTATTTTTCAATCTCCATTTATTTAGTTGAATGAAAACAGAAAAATAAAATCTATACTACTTTATGTGGATATATTTTTCCTTTTTTATTTTTTATTTTAAAACAATTCATAAATATTTTTTTTACCACTATAATTACTCAAAGTCACTTGGACCCTTCAATTATTAAATGCTTATTCATATTTAATTTTAATTATTTTTATCTTTTATTTTTTCATTTCAAGTGAAATACATAGAGACACAAAATGTCTCTTTTATGCTAATATTAATAAATGTTTTGCTCAATATTTATCTAACCATTTGGATGATGGTAGAGTCGGCCCAAGAGGCTAGTATTATCCTTGCTATAGGTCTCCTTAAAAAAATATTTTACATTAATATTTATTTTAATTTTTTGAAGGCCTATAAATAGAAAGATACTTTTTTGTATTTATAAAATCTCACTTTAAATTATTCATCTCTAAAATAATTTTATTTTTTTTCCAAAGATATTATTAGTAATTTTGTAAAAAATTACTTTAAAATTAGCTATAGGTCTAACAATATGTTAGGTCGGCTTGAATGATGAATTATGTGAGAAAAAGAGAGAAAAGTATAAAGTGGGTGAGAAATAAATAACACTAATGATATTTAATATTTAGCCAACATCCCTCATTTTTTCTTTATATCACTTTCTATCACATGTTTTTCTCTCTTTTTTTTCTTCTTTCTTTTATTGATTGCCTAAAAATTATTTTTTGAATTGAAGTTTTAATTTTTAATGTTTTTAAAAATCCCATTGAAGTTTAATTGTTAAGTTGTTCAACCCATATGTTTAGGAACTGATTAATAGTGTAAAAAGAGGATTTTTTGATGCACTTTTTATGTTAGGTGATGTCTACACGACATAAAAAATGATGCGATAACATAGTTGTAAATATGTCAAAGTATTTTATAATGGATGTTGACTTATCATCATTGAATGTTCTTTCTATGACGACTAAGTCAATACTTGTTATAGAATGTGTTAGTCAACCTTTAACTCCAACCTTTCTATGATGAGTGTTGACTTATCCATAATAGAAAGAAACATTTTGTTGGAGAAAAAGATATACACTAGAAGGGGGGTTGAATAGCGTATATCAAAAACTCGCATTTTTTGCAGTGAAGTAGTAAAAACTGTAATAGACGAAATACTGGGAATCAACAAACGAAGTGTCACAGGTGTTTTATACTGATTTGTCTCAAACATAGAGACTGTCCAATTCTTAATCCAACCAAATTGAGTTCCACTATCTTGTACAAGATACAAGTATTCTTTCACAAGCCACTCTTGGCTTAACATCAAGTATTCTTTCAGCAAGCCTCTCTAGGCTCAAACTCAAGTATTCTTTCAACAAACCTCTTCAAGCTCAAACCCAAGTATTCTTTCAACAAACTTCTTCAGGCTCAACACTAAGTATTCTTTTACATAAGCCTCTCTAGGTTCAACTCTTACAAATAAATTTGACAAGAGTTACAAGGATAGATTCGTCTCCTCTAGACGTGATGCTATGAAAATATAGCACAAATAAACTACAAAAAAACTATATATGAGATTTAGAATGAAGATATTTTTTGTAGTGCTTCAACTTTGTTCTTAGTATGCTTCTTAATGATAAATTTTTCTATTTACAGAGATTTTCTCTTTTCTTTGTAATGCCTCTTTTTTTGCCCTTCTCTCACCTTTTTTTTTTTTTTTTTTTTTGTAGTATCAAGGCTTCATCCTTATATAGTAGTTTTAGAATAGATGATTGTTGTAGCAACGTTGGATTTAAACATTCAAATTTCTTCACATGTTGCTTTGTCTGTTTTCTTTGTTGATTCTAGAGATTATTGTCGACACATTAAATGCTTATCAGTGACACGTGTATTCTTTATCTGATCCAAGAAACTACATATAATCATTTCCTTCTATTTTGAGTGTGGCAATGTAGTTTCAATGCAGAGCAGTCTTTATAGTGTCTTTTCCATGTAATTCGAGATTTTCTCTTTCTTTCCTAACGCAATAATTTGACATTTCCTTTTGGAAAAACTTTTATTATCTTCGAGGAAGCTCTTCTTATTTGATCTGTTAAGGAATAAAGAGTTAATGTTCCTTAAAGATTATTTTGTTATTCTAACAAAAAATAAATGTGGCATTTATCTAGATGATGCATTTTGTTTGGTACACTTCGTCTTACAGACGAATTATGACATTTGCTTTGTTTGAGATAGTTTCTTGAAAAATTTGGTTGTTATCATAAAAACTCCCAACTACTCTAAGGATTCAAGATCGTTTTTTGATTTTACAGACTTTCTTTTTGATCTTACACATTTTTTGATAGGTAAATTGTTACCCACCATAAAATGTCTTATTATTACATACACTCAGAATGCGAACCTAGTTCATGCTCCATTGTTTCATCTTCTTCTCCACAAGCAACATTAGAGGTGATTTCTAATGACTCCTCCATGCACACTACCCATTTGTTTCGGTGACCACTGCGATCAAAACGTTTTGGCATCTAGTTCTCCTTTAGTCCGATAAGCTTCTTCTTCAATTCTCCTTTGCCCTCCCAGGTTCAAAGCTTCACTTCTTCTTCTTCCATGTTGTTTAGGGTTTGTTGTGGATAGGGATGACAAAAATTTTGTACCCGTAGGTATCCCCAGATAAAATCTGCTACAAATAATAAATGAGTAGTCTAAATAGATATCCGCGAGTAATAGGTACGAGTATTTTTCTACCCGTTTATAAATTGAGCGGGTAGGTATGATAATATCCACACCCGTGGATACCCGTTTAATAAAATTTCTTAAATACCCTTATTTTATTTTCAATATTAGTACATTAGTATATTTTTTCAATATTTCATTCCAAGTTAAATTATAATCTAAATTGTAAGTTTTTCTATTTAGACATATTTTTTGATTTAGGAATCAAGTTGCAAAAGTGAGGTTGACAAAGTTACCAACATCACTAATTAAAAATATTTTGATTCTTAAGATGCTTTAAGCATGTTATAGAATTATGGGTGTAATTTGATCTATTATCTAGCTTTGTTTAGACCTATAAGATTTATGTATTTTAACTCATTTACTTTCTTTTGGAATTATGATATTAGATTATTGTAGCTTATGATTTGAGACTTTCAATTATTTATGAGATTGATGTATTTTAAGTTATTGATTATCTTGCATTTTTTTTTATTATTTTCAATATCAACAGAATTAACATTAAAGGCAAGCTTAAAAAATAACATCATTTTTTTTAACATTTCAATG